TGACTTTTTAGCGTTTCATCAGGGCTTGCTGTCATGGGTCAGCGGAACCGTTCGTGAGAATGAAGGCTACGAAAACGCCGACGCTGCGGCCAGAAATCCCAGACAGGCTGGAATACCGCGAAGATTTGAAGCCCCGTTGCCCCCTTCACCCGTTCCCAGGCCGTTTCAACGGCACCGACCCTACGCTTTCGATCACCGCCGTCGCTTCGCAGCACCGCTCGATCGATCCGCCGCGCAGCAGCATCGCTCCGATCCGGTCGAGCGCGGCCAGCACCTCGCCATTCCTCACCGCCCAGCCGCTCCCGCAGCGCGATCGCGTACGTGCCGCATGGAACTCTGCCAGCCACCGCCCGCGCTCTTCGGCCTCCGGCGTTGCGCAAAAAACCCTGCGCCGCCAATCGCGGCCGCTGAATCAGCGCGCTGGCCATCGATCGGGACTGACGAAATTCGCTGATCTTGTTTTCCTTCGTCGCGATCAGCGTGACTGCGGTGATGAAGTCGGTGACAAGACCAAGAATGAGGGTGACGATGAGCCTGCTGCATGATCGCCCTTTCCGCTCGGTTGAAGGGGGGCAGCCTAGCGACTTCACAGCGGGGCGCGAAATGGGAATGGACCAACCTGCCGCTCGCCCTTCACTTCCGCCCGAACAGCTTCTCGATATCGCCGTGCTGCAATTTCACCGGGTCGGGCGACCATGGTTGCACTAGCGGAAGTGCGGCGTGACCTCCATTTCGCGGAGCAGGTGCATTCATCTCGGCGACTGACGGGATGCGACCCGCGCGGACCAGCGGCCGTGGCAAGCCATTTGTCGCGGCAACGCCCAGTCCAGCCGTTCGCGCAAGGATAGTGCCTGGGTGAACACAGCCAGCTCATCGGCCAGATCGCTCTGCCCCAGGATCGCTCTGCCCCCAGCAGCGCAGGCGTGGAACGGACCAACATCGCGGTCGGGCCAGAAGCGTTCGGTCGAGGCCGAATTCCGCAGTTCCTCTGCGTGCTTCAGCCGGTCACAGGCAGGTTCATCCAGTTCGACGACTTCGGGGATCAGCATCGCCTGCGACGCGACCCGTCCTCAGTGCGCAGCGCGCATCGCTCCAACACCAGCCGCTCATGCGCGGCATGCTGATCGACCAGAACCAAGCCGTCCTCGGCCTCTGCGACGATAGGTCTTGGCAACCTGCCCCGCGCCACGCCCATCGGAAATTGGCGGACCTCGGGCGGCGGCGCGCTGGGCAGCCTCAGCGCGCGCCAGCGGCAGGGCGCCGCGGAGGCTGGACGGGGCGCGAAAGCGACTGCCGCTCCGCTGACCCGCGTCTCCGGCGCAGCGGGGTAACCATCCACAGGCAGAGGCGCTGCAGGGGCCGGCAGGAACGCCCCAGCCTCACCGGCTTCGGTCTGCCCATCGCCAAAGGCCGGGATCCGGCGGCCGCTGGACACTGCGATGCCCGGCTTCATCAGCGCGCGGCGCAGGCCCAACGATCATACCACAGATCAGCGCAGGGTCACGAAAGCGCACCTCGGTCTTGGCGGGGTGGACATTCCATCGACCTCGGACGGCGGCATGTCGAGGAAGAGCGCCACGACCGCATGACGATCGCGTGGCAACATCTCGGCATAAGCCCCTCAGGTACACCCATAAGCAATCGGTCGCGTACCGGGCGGCCGTTGACGAACAGATATTGATGGTCGGCGATTCCCCGGTTGAAGGTCAGCAATCCCGCGACGCCGCCGGGCTGACAATATCCCGCACCCAGTCAATCGCCACCGAATTCTCAGCAAGCGCGGTCGGTCAGTCCGGCGACTCGCCCCAGTCGCTCCTCGCCCCCGGCACCGTCAGGACACGCCGGCCATCATGCTCCAGCGTGAAGGCGATGTCAGGCCGTGCCATGGCGAGCGGCGGACCATATCGGGGGCGGCATATTCGGACCGTGGCGGCGCAGAATTTGCGCCGCGCAGGAACGCGCGAACAGGTCCTCCACCACGATGCGGGTCCCCGGCGGCACGGCGGCGGGGCCGTCGCCGCACCCGCCATTATCCGACGGCGGCTCCAGCCGTCGCTCCCTGCCAGGCGGCTCTCGATCGTCACCCGCGCCACGCGGCGATCGACGGCAGAACTTCGCCGCGAAAACCGAGGGGTTAGGACAGCTTCAATCCTTCGTCGGGCAGCTTGGAGGTACAATGCCGCTCCAGCGCCAGCGCCATATCGTCGGCCGACATGCCGCATCCGTCATCGGCCACCTCCAAGTCCGACCAGTCCACCACGGACAAGGGACGATGGCGATCCGGGTGGCGCCCGGCGTCGATCGAATTTTCGACCAGTTCCTTCAACGCACTGGCGGGCCTTTCGACCACTTCACCGGCTGCGATACGATTGACGAGATGGGGCAGACGCCGTATTGACGTAAGCAAACCCTAGCCCAAGCGACGGCATCCGCGACCCGCAAAATGACGGTGCAGGCGCCTGTGACGGCTCTTGGCGGCGGTTCGGGATATAGGTCACGCCCACCCGGTCCACAGACGGAACGAAAGCCTCGATGCCCCTGCCCGCTTCTGAAATTCATGTCGCAAGGCATGGCGATCGACCTCGGCACCGCCAACACGGTGGTCTATGTCCGCGGACGCGGCATCGTGCTGAACGAGCCGTCCGTCGTCGCAGTCGAAACGATCAACGGCATCAGAAGGTGAGGCGGTCGGCGACGACGCCAAGCTGATGATGGGCAAGACGCCCGGCAATATCGAGGCCATCCGCCCGCTCCCGCGACAGCGTGATCGCCGACATCGACGTCGCGGAGACAGATGATCAAGCATTTCATTCTGAAGGTGCATGGCCCGCGCAAGTTCGCGCGCTGGCCCGGAATCGTGATCTGCGTGCCGTCGGGTTCGACCAAGGTCGAGCGCCGCGCGATCCGCGACGCCGCGTCGAACGCCAGGGGCCAACCGGTCTTCCTGATCGAGGAGCCGATGGCCGCCGCGATCGGTGCCGACATGCCCGTCACCGAGCCGATCGGCTCGATGGTTGTCGATATCGGCGGCAGCGACCGAAGTCGCAGTGCTGTCGCTCCGAGGCCTTGCCTATACGACCTCGGTCCGCGTCGGCGGTGACAAGATGGACAGGTCGATCGTCTCTATGTCCGCCGCAACCACAATGCTGATCGGCGAAGCCACTGCCGAAACGGATCAAGCGGGAAGTCGGCATCGCGCGTCGCCGACCGACAGCATCGGCGTGACGATCCAGATCAAGGTCGCGACACGGTCAACAGGGTCCCCAAATCTCGATCAACGGGGCCAAATTGCTGGCTGTCGAACGGTGGCGACCATCGTTGAGGGCGTCCGTGTCGCGCTCGGGTACCGCGCCCCGAACTGGCGGCCGATATCGTCGACCGGGGCATCGTCCTGACCAGCGGCGGCGCGTTGCTCGAAGGGCTGGACGAGGGTGCTGCGCGACGAGACCGGCTTGCCAGTGACGGTCACGGGAACCCGCTGACCTGCGTCGCGCTGGGCACCGGCCGCGCGCTGGAAGACCCGATGTACCGCGGGCGTCCTGCTGAACGGCTAACCTCCAGCGCCAAGGGGACCGCGCGGCGCCCGCCGCCCACGACCGTCGCACCGGTTTCTCGCGACGGCGGCAATATGGAGCTTTCTGGCCTATGTGCTCGCGGTGGCGGGTGCGGTGGTGGGGGCGGTGCTGCTTGTCGCATCAACCTTCCAACCCGCCCGCCTTTGGCACTGCGCATGACGCTGGGCAGCGCGACCGCGCCGATCTCGGGCGCGTTCGTCGCGGTCGGCGATGCGGTCAACGACATCCGACGATCGGCCGTATTTCTTCGTCCATGCGGGGAATGACCGACTGCGCCGGGGGCTGGAACAGTCGCGCAAGCCTGCTCCAGACGGCGCACCATCGCCTATGACAATCGTCGCCTGCGCCGTTTGCTGGCGGTGCGCGACCGGACGCCGGACCACCGATGGTCGGTCGCTCAGCTGGTCAATTCGACCGGATCAGGCCGCCGCCCTGCTGCTCAGCGCCGGTCATTGGCAGGGCGTCACCCCAGCATGGCAGTGCAGGGCCCGAGGACTGGTCGGCCGTGGCCGGGCGGGCCGGCAGCGGCGCGTGTCTGTTGCTGACCGATCCGGAAGCATCGTCCCCGTGCCGTCGTACCCGCGACGGTATGCCGGCCATTGCACGGTCAGGCGCGGCGACAGCACGCTCGATGTCATGCTCGGTCGCCACCAATGTCCAGCTGGCCAAAGGGCGGTTATTTCATGACCCTCCAGCACCCGGCGGCCTTTACGCGCCAATCTTCCTGTCGCCCGCATCGAGACCGCCGGTGGCGGCAATCGCCGTCAACGGCCGTTAGCCATCGACACGCTCGATTTCGCGATCGTTCGGCGCGCCTTCATGCCGATGCCGCCACCAGCGCCGGCACCTCAGCCCGTGACCTCGACCATTATAACCCCTTGACCCCCGGACTGCCCCGTCACGCGCCCGCGCTGCCCACGCTGACCGTGATGGCCAGTTCGCTCGTCGCCATCGTACCCGGTGATGGCGATTGTGCCGTTACAACCGCCGACAGGTTTGCTGATGCTGCTCGCACGGCGTCTGGTCGCGCCGCTTCGCCTTGCGCCTCTGGGCCCGCGCCGCTGGGCCTGTTCGACGATCTGCTGTCCAGGGGCAGCCGCGCTGGTTCGGCCATGCTGCTCTGGTCACTGACCTCGCTCGCCATCGACCTGTTCGGAGGCATCAGCTGGTCTTTCGCGATTTCTGGCAGGATTGGCTGATCGCCAGCGGCCATCGCCTTTTGCCTGATTGCTGGCCGCTTCATCATCGCGGTGCCGGTGGGGCGCGGGTCGATGCGCCGCTGATCATCAGATCGTGATCACCATCCTGCTTTCGATGGCGACCCGCTTGGTCGCGTGGATCGATCCAAACGCCCCGGGGCGAAATAAAGTGGGGGCCCTAACATGGATCGCCCGGGCGGATCGCGAAGCCGAGGCCCGCGCAGGCCTATAGCTTCTCACGGCGCGCCTTCGTGCTGGCGCGGCGCAGGAGCCGTCGGCCTGATGCTGGCCGGCCGCATGGCACTGTGGCTTTATCGATCGCGCAGAACGAAAGTACAATCTCTAACACCGAAAGCAGCAGGTCAACACGACGATGATCGCCGCGTCGCGGCTGGCTGATCTCGATCGGCAGGCTTCCATCGCCAACAATCGCACCGATTTCCGCGTCGACATCATCCCGACCGGCTGGAGGACAAGGACCAGTGCTCGGCCCTGCTCCGCCAGATCCTGAAGCTCGATGACGAGGCGATGGGCGCATCCGGCTCGACCTCCGAACATGCCGCCGGGTTTCCAGCCGGTGCAGGTCGCTTCGACGGCAGCTGGACTGGGGACCGATTTCGCCGCGATGGCGTGCAACTGCCGGTGCCGGGCGTGCAGCCGACGCGCGGCTTTTTGCGCGCTTCTATCCCGCTGTGGACCGGCGGTCGCATCTAACCGGCTATGTCGGTACGCCACCCGCCAGAGCAGTTCAAAGGAAACCCCGACCAGCTGCTCGTCACCCCCGGCTTCAAGCTGGGCAAGGACGGGCTGGAAAAGATGCTAGAGCCGCAATTGCGCAGCAAGCCCGGCATAAGCGTGTCGAAGTGACGGCGCGCAGCAGGTCGTGGCGAACTCGCCATAATCCGGATACCCCGGGCCACAATATCCCGCCCTGACCATCGATGCGGGGCTACAGGAATAACACGCGCCGGCTCGGCACCAATTCCGGGATGGCGGTGGTGCTCGACTGCCGCACCGGTGAGACGCTCGCGATGGTGTCGATGCGCCTATAATCGAACAGCTTCTCGGACGGGATCAGCCACTTGGAGTGGGCGTGCTGTCGGAGAAAACGACCATGTGCCCTTGATGAACAAGGTGACGCAGGGGCTGTATCCGCCAGGCTCCACCGTCAAGCCGATGAACGGCTTGGCCCCTGCTCGAAAGCAGGCGTGGCGCGGACGACCGCGTTGCTGCACCGGCGCGATGCGGGTCGCACCGGCGTCTTCCACTGCCACAAGCCCGGGGCGGTCACGGCGCGCTCAACTCTGAAGCGGGCGATCAGGCAGCTGCGACATCTGTTTTCTGAGATGATCCGGCACTGGGCTGCTGACCAGACTGCGCCGGTCGCGCGGATGCTGGGGCTGGGCCAGAAATTGACATGCCGCTCAATACGCAACGTTACGGCACAGTGCCCGATTCCGCACGGAAGCTGAAGAATGCCAGACAAAATGGACCGTGGCCGATGGCTTCTGAACGCCTCGATCGGTCAAGGCTGCGCTGGCCAATCGCTCCAACTGGCGGTGATGGCGGCGCGGATCGCCTCGCCGCCATTTGCAGCCCAGCCTGCTCGCATCAGGTTCATCTCGACCCCGCCTGCCCTGCGGTCGCGTCCGAGCATCTGGCGGTGGTGCGCGATGCCATGTTCGGCGTGGTCAATCAGGGGGCGGCGCGGGGGCGCCGCGCGGATGCTGGTGCCGGGCGTGTCGCTCGCCGCCAAGACCAGCACCGCCGGTACGCCACATCACCATGGCCGAGCGACGGATAGGCGTTCTGAAGAACGGCCAATTGCCCTTCAAGCTGCGCGACCACGCCCTGCTGGTATGCTTCGCACCGGCGGACAATCCGCGTTATGCCGCCGCGGTGGTGCTGCGGAGCATAATGGCCCACCGTGCGCAACCTCGACGCGCCACTGATCGGCCCGCGACATCGCCGGCCTATCTGTTCGACCGCGACCGTGCGCTGGCCTCGCTGGCGGAGGTGAGCCGACACCCAGGGGCGGCGACATCATGACGCGGATGCAGGCGGAAGAAGCCGCCTATCGCGCCCCAGTCTCCCAAGCCCGCCTCGGTAGCGACCAAGACCGATGCCGGCGCCGCCACCCGGCTGCACCCGCCGTCGAAGCCACGACGAACGTCGCCGACGCTGAGCCGAGGCGATGGCGACCAGCCCGAACGAACGCGCGCGACACGGCGGAGCTAAATCCATGAGCGGGGCGCGGATCATCGAAACCCATTGCCCAACTGCCTTGGCGGGTCATTCTGCTGGTCATGGCGATCGGTTCCGGACCGGTCGTCCTCCTATTCCGGCCGCCGTATGGGTCGTTGTTTTGGGACAGCCGCAAGGAGGCTTCTTCGTGCTGCTCGCCGGGTCGCTCGTGCTGCTGCGCCTGCTGCTCGATCTATGGCGGCGGATCGCGATACCGCTATCTGATCTGGTGGTCGCGCTGGTGCTGGTGGAATTGCTCGGCGCGGTGCGCGGGGGGCAGCCAGCGATGGCTGGACGTCGGTTTATCCCGGCTCCAGCCGTCCGAACTGATGAAGCTGTTCATCGTCCCGGGGCCGCGCGCTTCCTATGAATTGATGCCACCAGCAGAGACAAGGCGCTTCTCCGGCATATGGCCCGTCGCGGCGATGATCGCCGTGCCCGCCGCGCTGGTGATGAAACAGCCCGATCTGAGACCCGCGCTGATGATCTGTGCGGGCGGCGCGACCGTGATGTTCTTCGCCGGGTGCCGCTTCGCCTGTTCATCGGCGGGCGATGGCGCTGGCGGCGTTGGCCCCGCTTCGCGGTCAATTTCGTGCTTCACGATTATCAGCGCAACCGCGTTCTGATCTTCTGGATCCCGAAAGCGATCGCCCGGCACCGGCTATCATATCAGCCAGTCAAGATCGCGATCGGATCGGGGGCATTTCGGCAAGGGGTTCCTGAACGGCACCCAGAGCCATCTCGATTATCTGCCAGTTAGAGGCCATACCGACTTCGTCTTCGCCACCATGGCGGAGGAATGGGGGCTGGTCGGATGCTTCCTGATCCTCGCCTTCCTGCTGGTCATCCGCTGGGGGCTCAACGTCGCGCAGTGGCGGCGCCCAATCGCTTCGCCCGGCTGACTGCCGCCGGCCTCGTTCACGACCATCTTCATCTACGCCGGTCAGTCTGATGATGGTGATGGGCTGGCCCCCATCGGTCGGTATTCCGCTGCCGCTGGTCAGCCCTATGGCGGTTCGTCGCAGATGACCGTGCTGCTATACTGGGCATCCTGATGGCGATCGACCGAAAAATCGTCGCTCCACCGCTGGTGAAGGAAAAGCGGCTTTTCCCCGAAAAAGCAAAGCAAAGCGGAAAAGCCAATGCTAAAGGCGCGCCTCCCGATCATGAAGCCGGGTCGCAAGACCCCACGCTTCCATCGTGGCAAATGACGCATAGCTCGATTGGTAGAGCAGCTGACTCTTAATCAGCGGGTCCTTGGTTCGGAGGCGCGCGTCCACCAGTTTCTCCACGGCTCCGCGAACAATCGCGGGCTGTTGTGCATTGAACCCTCAGGCCCCTCCAGCGGGATAGATGATTGATGGCAGGCTATAAGGTTCCCGGTTTCTCCGATCGTGCAGCGGCCTCACGCGCGAGGCCAAGGCAGCGGCGCCGGAGCGTCTGCGCAGCAAGGCCCGCGCCCGACCCGGCGGGTCGTCGCTGCTCGCGCCGCAGCCCGCGAAGCGCCAGGCGGTGGCCGGGGCGAACGCCGCGCCGCGCACAAGGCATGATCGAGCGGGAAAAGGCCGCTCGCGAAGAAGCCCGCGCCAAGGCACAGGCCGAGGCCAGAAACCGCCCAGAGGCTGCCGCTGCCGCCGCACGCCCGCCCGTCGTCCCGACCGCCGCTTCTGAACTGAAGGCGGCGCGCGACGCGCGCTATGCCGCGCAAGGCCCGCCGTGGCAAATGACCCTGCGCGAGCTGCTGGGCGTCGCCGAGGTGCCCGGCGGCGAACCGCTGCGACTGTTTCGTCGGCGGCGATTTCGCATGATCGTGCTCGACCGCAGCGAGCTGATGAGCACGCGGATGGGCGGCCGGAAGTCGCGCCGGGCAATTATGACCTGCGACCGCCTCAGCGACCGCCCTGCCCCGCATCTGCTGATCGGCGGCTATGGTATTGGGCTTCACGCCGCGGGCCGTGCTGGCGCGTTGGGCCCGGGGCGCAGGTAAGACGGTGGCGGAACTGGTGCCGGTATATCGAATGGGCGCGTGGCCTGATGGCCGCGCTGACCGACGGATGCCCCCGGACGATCCCCGCGTGACGCTCGCCATGTGGGGATGTCGCATGCGATCTATGCCGGGCGCGGGCAATATGATGCGATCCCTACTCGACGTTCGACAATGGCCCCGACGGCTGGCCCGTCCGGCCAATGACGGGTTTTTGCTCGCGCGTGGCCTGATGAGGCGCGCGTCTCGCACCGTCCGGGTGGCGTTCTGGCTATCTGGTCCGCGCCGCCCGATCCTGTCTTCACCGTGCGGTTTGGCGCGCCGGCTTCGCGGTCGATGAGGTCAAGGTACGGGCGCGTTGAGAACGGCAAGGCGCGACACGGTCTGGTTTCGCCACGGCGCGCTGACATCTCTGCGACGGTAGTCCAGGGCCACCTCCCCGCTCACCCGTGGTGGGTACCTTCCTTTCCCATCAGGGGAAGGCGCGAACCGCCGGAAGGGTAAGGGCAAGATGAGACGTTCTATGTCTTCAATTCTCTCGCGCTTTGCCCCCGTCCAGTTCCTTCTGCAAGATCCTTCTCGTCGCATCACGCTGTTTTCGCCTTGGTCCGACCGAAGTGCCCGGTTCTCGCTGGCCTGTTGCTCGGCGCCTGCGTTACCCGCGCCTTGCAGGGGCTTGGCGGAAATTGACGACGTCGCCCATCAGCGCCGCCGCACCGCCGGAACAGACCTTGCGAGCTCCTGAGCGCCTCGAACATCTCGTCGGGCCCTTCGGGATCAGGCACCCCGTTATCGGCCAGCCATTCCTCGACACTCGACAGGTCCGGCCTCCGCCGGGGGCAGCGGCCCTTCCTCGGTGCCGCGCAATGTTCCACCGTGGCGATCAGCGCATCCGGTCCGCGCGAAGTCTCGACACCGTCGCCAGTGCCACTCCCAGATGCTTGGCGAGCAAGTCATCCCGAATGGCGGTGATCCGCTGCGCCGCAGCGCTGCCACCCTCGACCGCCAGCGCAAGGTCGCATTCGGTATCGAAGCCGCATCGACCGATTATTGAGATTGACGACCCCAGCCGGAACACGCGGTCGTCCGCAATCAGGATCTTTGGCATGGCGGTAGATCGCCTCGCCATCCGCCGTGAACGGATGATAGAGTACGCAGCCAGCCAGACGGTCGCGCCGTCGCCGGCCTCCACCAGCCGCGCGCCGTAAAGTCCATCGCGATCGGCTCCAGCCAGCCTTGCGCGGTCAGGCGGATTGACGATGACGAACTCCGGTCCGTCCTCCTCATCCAGCCGTTGCGCAACGCCTCCGCCGCGGCGAGGCGAAATGCTGGCTCGATATAGACGTGCCGCTCGGCCCGCGCGGATTCACCGGGAACAGCGCTTCATTCCCTCATGGACGGGCGCTCCGGGTCTTCCATCTCCCGGGCATGGTGCGCGCGATCGCGACGGCTGGTCGGTAGAAGTCGCCTCCAGCCCCTCGGCCAGCAGCTCGCGCCCGGCACTGCCGGGCCATATGCTTGCCCCCGCCGCATGCCAGCGCGGGCGGAACAGCTCGCCAGCACGCCGGTGACGCCCCTCGACCGCGCTGATCGCATCGTGCGGGTTTGTAGGCTGTTTCGACCGCTTGCGGCCGGGCCTTTTCGAGATGCGCGCGCGCAGTCCCAGCGATCGCCGGTCATGTCGATGCCGCCGCAAAGGCGAGTTGGTCGTCGTGATGACGATCTTCTGGTGATGCGAGGCCGCGACCGATGATGGTCAGCTTGGTATGGATGCGCTTGTGCGCCATCCACTTCATCACGGTGAAGAAGGTGCGACCGCGAACATCGATTTGATCGCACCCGTGGTCCAGCGGGGCAGGAAAATTTCGAGATCAGACTGCTGCTGGACCAGCGAGTAGATGAAATCGCCCAGCGACTCGTTCGGTGCCTCCTGTCATGGTCGAGCACGATCCGCGCGTCGAAATCCCAACCGATCAGCAGGATCTGCCGCCGCGCGTTCAGCATCGCGCGGCGCGCCATCCGGAAAATAATTCTCCGCGTCGACGATCACCGCCATCCTGTCGGCCTGTTCGATCCGCCAGCATTCCTGTCCGACACCGTACAATCTCCCCGGTTGCCGATGGTTTCAATGCCGCTGTCACCCGCTGGCAAATGCCAGAAACGCAAAGCCGGCGAAACGGCGCCACCGCACACCGGAAAATCGACAGCGCGCCCGATCTCGGCCCTGCCCCGCTCCGTCCGCATGGCATCTTGCATGTCCGGCGCGGAAGGCCGATCTCCCGCGCGCATCATCGCCAGACTATCGGAAAGGACGCATGACCGCCCAGCAATTTGACGTGGAACGGCCTGTACATCGCCGGGGAATGGCTGGGTCCGGAAGGGCGCGACACCAGGCCGTACTGAACCCCGCAACCGGCCAGCCGCTGGGCGACCTGCCGCTGGCGACCACCGCAGACATGGACCGCGCATTGAGGCTGCCGCGGCGCGTTTTCGATCAGTGGCGCAAGACCGCACCGCAGGAGCGGGCAGCCGTCCTCACCGCACCGCCGCGCTGGTCCGCGAACGCGCCGAGGAGCTTGCCCGCCTCTGCCACACGGGAGGAGTGGCAAGCCGATCGTCGAGGCGCGCGGTGAAGTCGCCGCCACCGCCGCGCTGCTCGATTTCCATGCGGGCGAAGCGCGGGTGCGGACCTATGGCTGCGTCCTACCCCGCCCGACCGGGACCCGCTCGCTGGTGCTGCACCAGCCGGTTGGTCCAGTGGCGCTCTTTGGAACTTCCCTGTGATGAACCCCGTCCGCAAGCTTTCGCCCGCGATCGGCAGCGGGTTGCTCCAGGTGATCCCCGCCCAGCGAAGAAAACGTCAGCCAGCGCTATCGCGATCATGCTGTTCCGGATGCCGGCCTGCTCCGGTGATGTCCACAGCTCGTTTTGGCGTGCCCGATGCCGTGTCGCGCCACCTGCTCCCGCCTCGCCGGTCACGCCAAGTTCAGCTTCACGCTGGCTTCGGTGCCGGTCGGCAAAAACTGCCTGCTCGCTCGAGCATTTCTGTAATGAAGTCGACCATGGAGCTGGGCGGTCAGCGGCCCGGTGCTGGTGTTCGACGATTGCGACCTCGACAGACGCCTGACCTGCCGTCACCCCACAAGTTCCGCAATGCCGGCGAAGTCGCGTCGCGCCCCTCGCTTCCATGCAGGAGGGCATTTTACGAGCGCCGCCAAGGGCTTTGCCGAGCGCGCCGCGCTGAAGATCGGTGACGGCCTGTCGTCGGAGACGCAGATGGGCCCCTGGATAATCTCGTCGTCCTGGAGGCGCGATCGGCGCGATGATCGAGGATGCGGTGAAGAACGGCGCGCGGATGCTGACTGGCGGTGCAGGCTGGCGGGCGGCGAAGGCTTCTTCTTCTCGCCCACCGTCCTTGCCGATGTCTCGCTGGAGGCGCAGGCGATGAACGACAGGCCCTTCGGCCCGATCGCGCTCATCGCCCCTTCGCCACCACCGAGGATGCGATTGCGGAAGCCAACCGCCTGCCCTTCGGCCTGGAGGCCTATTGCTTCACCGAAAATGGCCGCCGCCAGAACCAGTTGGCGACGAGATCGAGGCCGGCATGGTCGCGATCAACACCGTCCGCCTGAGCTGGGGCGATGCGCCATTCGGCGGGGTCAGGAAAGCGGCTATGGCTCGGAGGATGGCCCCGAGGGCATCGCCAACCATATGATCACCAAGGCGGTTCACATCGCCTGACGGGCGTCCCGCCTTCCTAATGAAGGCCGCTATCGGAGAGGGGGTCACCATGGGCGGCGGCACCCCTTTTCGTCATCTCGTTGCCCGATAGGCCACCCGTGCCGCCTCCACCTCCGACTGATGGGCATCGGCCCAGCGGATCAGCCCGCGCATCGGCTCCAGAAACGACCGCCCCAATTCGGTCAGCCGATATTCGACGCGCGGCGGCACCTCCCGATAGACGGTACGCCTGACAAGCCATCCTCCTCAACCCGTCGCAGCGTGCGCGACAGCATCTGCTTCGACATCCCCGATCCGGCGCAGCAGCGTGTTGAAGCGCAGAAGTCTCGGGCTCCAGCGCGGCTACACCAACAGGCTCCACTGGTCGCCGATCCGTCGAGTATCGCGGATCGGACAGCCGCCCTCGCCCGTCAGCGGGTCGCGGGCGGTCACATCGGTGACCTGATCCCTCGAAAATGACGTCTTGTGAGGGTCCGCATGGCACGGCATAGCTCAACGGTCTACAAAATGGACCGCATGGTCAAGACGAAAGAAAAGCCATGAAGATCACGTTGATTGGAGCCTCTCGACGATATCGGCTCGCGCGCATCCTGAAGGAATTGTCGGATCGCGGGCACGCGATCACCGCCATCGCCCGTCAGCGCCCGAACGCATTGCCGCCCAGCCGGTGCGACGGCGGTGACCGGCGATGCGGCCCAGCCGGATGCTCTGGCGAAACGCTGCGGGGCCATGACGCGGTCGTCAGCGCCCTGCCCTTCGCCCCGACCGATGCGCAAAGCCTGATCGACTCGTCGCGCGTCCGGCGTGTGGCGCTTTCTGGTCGTCGGCGGCGCCGGCAGCTCGGAGTCGCGCCCGGCCAACGACTGATCGACCAGCCGGGCTTTCCGGACGAATATAAGCCCGAAGCCAGCGCGCCGTCACCTTCCTCGATCTGCTTCTGCCGTGCCGACGATCTGGAATGGACTTCCTCCTCGGCGCTGTTCGCGTGCAAGAGCGAACGGGCGTGTTCCGGGTGGGCACCGATGCGCTCTGTCCAACGAACAGGGCAGCAGCATCTCTATGAGGACTATGCGATCGCCCGCCGGCGAGATCGAACAGCCGCGCCATATCCGCCAGCGCTTCACCGTCGGTTATTGAGCCACGGATCGGCGGGATCGGCTGTCGATCCCGGCCGCAAGAAATATCAAAAACCTCTTGGCAGGTCGACATGCTCGGCTAACAGCGCGCCACCAGCCGGGGACAACACCGCCATGTCGAAATCGACATCGGACGCTAGCCTGAAGCAGAGCAGCGACTCGCATCAGCGGGGTCCTGGTTCGAGCCTAAGTGTCCACCATTACCCCCTATTCCAGATCAACGATCCTCCGGAAAGGGGCGACACCAATCGTGTTCGGTCGGCAGGTCGGGTCCCGGAGCGAACCGTCGTATCAGCGCGAGATTGAGCCGTTTGACCCGATCGGGCGGGGGCTGCAATTGCTGCGCCCCGACGTCACCTGCTCCCCCTGAGCTGCCTGAATGCGACCGGCGCCCCATCGGCGCACCCTTCATCGGCACCGGGCCAGCCATCGGTCATTGATCCATCACCTCCGCATATCGGCGATAATTCCATGCCGGAACCGTGAAGGCTCGGCGTTGAGTGGACTGCGCCAGGCGTTCGGGTGCCGAATATATAAGTACGCCTCTGCCCGCTTCGCCCCCTGCGTAAATGTAGAGAGGGTAAAGGCATAATCGCTTTGGCTAAAACTGCGTGGACGACGAAACGTGCCATTCCCGTGCAAGCCCGTGATCGGGGGCAACCGCCTGAGATAATCCAGCATATCATCATTCGGCAGGCGAGTTGTCTGGCTTGACTGGCCCCTCCTGCGTCTTGACAGCGCCAACCACGTTCGGGAACGATGAGCCTCCTCCCACCGAAGCCAGCAAGCGGTGCCACGATGACCAGAATTTCTGATAGCCACCAGCGCCGTGGTTCCATAGCCGATGCGATGCAGCATTTCAGGCGGGTCGGTAGCGACAATGCTGAGACGCATCCCGTTCCGGTACGGTGCTCATTCGCTCCCCCGACCGCCATCGCGCTCGATCAGTTTGATCGCCGGTCCAAAGCCCCGCCCCAGTCCTGAAGGCGGCACTGGCGGGGGTCGATGACTTCGCATCGCTCACTGCTTGTCATACCAGCGCGCCAGATCCGCTTTCATGCTCCGCAATGCATCGGGGTTAGATAGGCCGCGTGCTCCCGCCGGATAATAGGTGAACTGCACCGGCCTGCTGCGCCGCTCCAGTGCATCATATGGCCCAGATCGCTGTCCTGAAGAACGGCGTCGCCATATCATCATGCCGTTCATCGACAGCACCCAGATACGGGTTGGCCCGCATCGCAGCGCCAAGGTCGATCGCGGTGTTGGGATTGTTCTGGAGCCGTCCGGGCGCCTTGTGCTTCAATTCCAGTCCATCCTGCCGCATCCCGCGCCGACAAGCGATAGGGTAGTTCGGTCTTATAACCGAGCGTGGACTGCAGGTAATCTTGGAAGGATGCGATATCGGCCCCTGAAATCGCGTCCGAAGAGGCATCCGTCTCGGGCCGCCTGCCGGCCGCGTCGGTGT